TCATTATACACCTTAAACATCAAGACAGTTCTTAACCATACACCTTATACATCTAGACAGGTTTTCACCTTATACATCTAGACAGGTTTACACCTTATACATCTAGACAGGTCTTCATCATACACCTTATACATCTAGACAGGTCTTCATCATACACCTTATACATCTAGACAGGTCTTCACCAAACACATTATACATCTAGACAGGTCTTCATCATACACCTTATACATCTAGACAGGTCTTCATCATACACATTATACATCTAGACAGGTCTTCATCATACAACTTATTCATCTAGACAGGTCTTCACCAAACACATTATACATCTAGACAGGTCTTCATCATACACCTTATACATCTAGACAGGTCTTCATCATACGCCTTATACATCTAGACAGGCCTTCACCAAACGCATTATACATCTAGACAGGTCTTAACAGTGTACATCTAGACAGGTCTTCACCAAACACATTATACATCTAGACAGGTCTTCACCAAACACATTATACATCTAGACAGGTCTTCACCAAACACATTATACATCTAGACAGGTCTTCACAGTGTACATCTAGACAGGTCTTCACCAAACACATTATACATCTAGACAGGTCTTCATCATACACCTTGTACATCTAGACAGGTTTACACCTTATACATCTAGACAGGTCTACACCTTTTACATCTAGACAGGTCTTCATCATACACCTTATACATCTAGACATGTCTACACCTTATACATCTAGACAGGTCTACACCTTATACATCTAGACAGGTCTTCATTATACACCTTACACATCTAGACAGGTCTTCACCAAACACATTATACATCTAGACAGGTCTTCACCAAACACATTATACACCTAGACAGGTCTTCACCAAACACATTATACACCTAGACAGGTCTTCACCAAACACATTATACATCTAGACAGGTCTTCACCAAACATATTATACATCTAGACAGGTCTTCATTACACACCTCATACATCTAGACAGATCTGGGGGGTTTTAATGGACCTGAAATGAAGCATTCATGTATGACAGTTTATCGTTAGATCCACAGGATGAAGTTTTTCACAGACGACAGACTTCTTGACATTGTATTGAGAAATTAAAGTAGTTAAAATTGGAAGATGATTTCATTTTTTTAACAATACACATGTTTAGCGTAATAGTTCTGTACATTTCCAAATAATCAATGCTGCTTTTTCTTACGATTTAAAACAAGGCAGCATTGTTGACATTATTAAAGGCATTAGTGTTCTGTCTGTTGACGTTATACATACATTATAACATACAGACACACATCTTCACGGAATGGCTCAGATAAACAGAAAATGATTATTTATTTCATGATCCATTCATAGGAGAACCAACCGTTTTCATTATAGATGACTGTAGTGCAAATAAAGCACTAACGCCCAGGACAGGGTGGTCCAGAACCCATTTTCATTGGTCAAATATAATTTAGTTTTTAACTAAAACAAACTTCACTTTAAGATTTATCAATCATTTATTTATCATAATCAAAATCTTCAGACTTTCTTAGATCAGCTCCCGAAGCCATGCATAATCACATGCACATTAAACGGTCATAATCCCCTTTTGGGGAAGTACTGGTACAAATAAGTGGGGAAAAGTCCTTGACGATTTTATCTCAAACAATGATTTATGCATCTTCAATGATAGATCTAATACTTATCTAAACCCAGCCACTGGCACATAGTCTATCCTTGATCTTTCAATTTCGGATTGAAATATTTTAATTGAATGGTCGGTCCATGAGGACTTTTGTGAAAGTGACCACAACACTTCTTACAACTATCAATCTAGCTGACGTAACAACGTCAACAAGATGGAACTTTACAAAGACCAATTGGTCTTTATTCCAAACACTGTGTACAGAAAAACTAAAACCTGACAGTTTCAGGAATATTCCTGAACTTAAAACAACTATTTTCAGATCAATTAAATGCTATTGGAGACGAAATGATTCATAAGTCTTCTGCAAACCCTCATATATATGTAAACCATGGATTGATAATGATTGTAAACAAGCTAGGAAAACTAGGAAGAGTGCTGAGAAATATTTCCGCCGACATCCTACCGTGCACAACCTGAATGATGTTAAAATCACAAGCGCCAGGCCAGACGTACCTTTAAACAAAGTAAACGTCAATCCTGGAGAACCTATGTATCCAAAATCAATTCCCGCACACCCATGTCCAAGGAATGGAACATGATTCAAAAGATTAAGAGCTAAGGATCAAAATTTGGAGTTGACATCTCAATATTGTAATACACTATTAACCACTAAATTTGAAATTGACAACAAACTTGATGTAACCTATGCAAACCATTCCTCTTCATCTAACTATAACCCTCAGTTTCAGAGATACCAAAACATCAAAAAAAGAAAAAGTCAATTTGAACTCTGATAATGGTGAGGCCTACAATGAAATATTTTCACTCCACGAATTGCATACTGCCCTAGGGAAAGCTCAAGACACTGCAGCAGGAACCGAAAACATCAGCTTCTGAAACACTTGCCAGATTCATGTTTGGAAACTCTACTTGATATATTTGAAATTTCCCTTCTTCGTGGCACAATTCCTGTACCAGCATATACTTGTGTTTACGACCCCTTGTATGAAAACCTGCTTCGAAATTTATCATATCTGGTTCCACAACTTGGAATCAGAATTCAACCACACATCACTGCAGCTAAAATGAAACTTGATATCATATCACCTTACCGACTTCTGTCTTCTCTTCCCAGAAAAGTCAGAGGTAGACCTCACTCTCACCCAGCTAAAAAAGTCTGAAACAAACCCTTTGGGTAATCAACAAGGATACAACCAATTATGAACAAAATACAAATCTCGCAGATCTATATTTGCTGATGGGTCCAAGGATGGTGGCAAAGTTCCAAGTGCCACCATCATTGGATCCAAAACTGCCTTCTCAAGAATCCCAGATAAATGTTCAATCTTTACTGCTCGGAACAAAGCTATCTTAACAGCTTTGACCTACATTAAACAAGATCAATGTAAAAGCTCCATCATATTATCAGATTCATTGTTTTTGCCTTCAGGCACTTCAAAGTGTCTTGTCATATAACTCTATTCTCCTAGACATTTTAGAGCTATATGATGATCTTTCTACAGGCCAGTATGACATAAAAGGTAACTCAAAAGCCAATGCTGCAGCGACAGCAGCTCTTGACAAACCGTTATCTCTATTCCTTATCCTGTACAGATAATTCAAACCAACCATAAAGAGTTATCCTTGGGATCTAATGCAAAAAACGTGGAACACCCATGTAGGAATCAATAAACTTCACTACTTTAAGCCAACAATCGGTCATACCTACATGGGTTGTCAGTCAAGACATGATGAGGTCGTTTTATGACGATTTCGTATTGGCCACAGTCAGTTAGCATCCCAGAATTCAGTGACCATAACTTTCTTCATTGATCTTGAAGACATGAATTTCTTTGGCGCCAGAGAAATGGAATGGTGCCATTCCATGGATTGACGTTTTGACTCGAGGTCATAGTGGTAGACCCATGTTTCATCACCCGTTCCTGAGCTAGCTAATTAGCTTTAAATTGTCTCTGGCAATGTCAGTTTTGTTTTCCTTAAGATCAGAATTTAGAAAATTTGGCATCAAACGAGAAGATATCTTATTCATCTGTAAATGTTTATGAATAATAGTTTCAATGGATTCATGGCTTAGACCTGTGTCTTCCTCAAGTTTAGCAATGGTAATGCGTCTCTGACAGTATAAGTTTTCAATCTCCTTGATTGAATCTACATTTATGGAAGTTGAGGGACGTCCAGACCTAGGGTCATCATCAAGTCTTGTTCTCCCAGCCTTAAACATAGCTGCCCAACGTTTAACAGTGGGATAGCTCAGGCACTTTTCCCCATATACATGTGACAAGTGGTCATGAATTTCTTGGGGAGTACTTTTCTCTAAAGTAAACAATTTGATGACTGCTCGTTACTCGTTCCTTTCCATGTCTGTATCCATTTGGACCCCTATCACGTAAAACTGGCTGTCACTAACATACAAACGGCCTCAACAGACCAAATACACTTGCAATGAATTACTCAAACAATGTACTACATTGACTAGTTAGCTAGTATTGTGCACAACCACCAGTAGCTAAAGTGATGACGTAAATCCTGCTGGGGTCTCGGGCAGGAAGCTGAGTGACTGTTAGTCCCCATGATGTCCAACGAGGTGGCCAAGCTTTGGTTGCTGGTGGCTTATAGCCCGTGTTTTAAACAGTTGTAAATAATATTGTTATGATAAAATATGTTGACAACTTTCTTTTATAATATAACCTTGTATTCATGACTGAGTTGTATACACATATATCAACTTGTTCCCGTCATGTACACAGTCACAAACATACACACACCCCCCACTCCCTCTCCAAACACACACACACATATCCACTCACCAACACGCACGCACACATACGCATATGCACCCTACCACACACATACCCCCCCCACCCCCCCACACACGCATCCACACACCAACACACACATACCCATACATATACCCACCCACCCTCATACACACATACCACACACCAACACACACAGAGACTCATACACACACATACCCCCTAACACACATCCACTCACATACCCACACACCCACTCGCACATCCACACAGACACACACACATATACACACACATATATACACATACACAAAGGCATCTTCACACCCACCCACCCACACTACACACATCCACACTCACACACCCAACACACAGACTCACATCCACACTCACACACACCCCACGAACCCTTCCACTCACACCACACACACGCGCCACACACACACGCCACACACACACGCCACACACACACATATACCCACTTGTCCGCCCACTGATGGTTAGGATTTCAACACCACCCTTTACTAGTTTCTCATTAATATCAACAGTGCTTTCACGTTCAACTTTCACTTGCTCCAGATAAGTCATCATGGCAGGACAACGTGAACCAAATGACCCGACAACATCGCAAAAACATGAAAACTTTGGGACTAACTCGATGAAAGGAAAATTAGTAACGGCTTTGCCTGGAATCGGTGATACGTATGGAGCAAATCTGAAGAAGAACGGATATGAAATGGTAAGGTTGGTGTAAACGTAAAGGATCATTCAGTTGTTACACAAAATACTTGCTGCTGCATTTGTGGGACATATTTGTTAAACACTTTGAGGAAGGAGTGGACTTTTGAGAGATCTAATGGATAGGTATTTCTTATATCTGCAATATGGCTGTAGTATGACATCGTGTTAACCAGTATCTGTGCTAGCTCTGAAATTTTTTAAATGTACATACTATCTTATTTAAAAAATGACACACCTCAAGTTGCTAAGTTCATCATCTGATGGAGACACACCCACATCACCTGATTAGTTGGCAAACGCTATACCCCAAACAGTGTGTTGGTGATGGTGATGATGGGGGTGATGATGATGATGATGATTATGGTGATGAAACCAGAACCGTCAGAGACATTGTCATTGGATTCATTAATGCCGAGCAACAGACAGGCTAATAAACACGTACCTCCTTTTAACGTCTTTTGGTATGACGCGGCCGGGGATTGAGCCCCGGACCTTCCGCTCTTCAGGCGGTCGCTTTACCACTAGACCACAGAGGGGGTCCACTTCAACAATTCTTATACGAGATAAACAAGTGAACTTATGTGTGTTCCAATTGATTTCTCAGCGGGGTACATGGTTATTAATAACCAATCAGAAGCCAGTACTTTTTTGTAAGGTGAGATAAAGTCACTTGTAGGGGGCCCCCTATCCTACAGTTCAGTTCATGTTCATCTGTTGTTTTAGTTCTTGGTGGGAGTGCGCGCCTGTTACCTCATTTGAATCACACGATGATAAAAAGATACAAAATGGCAAAAATCAGCCATAATATGTCTTGGCTGGAACAAACGTGTATTTGTGAATGAAGTCGGTTTATTCATATCAGTTCGACCACCTATGCTACTAACTGCCAAACTGGTTCCCATGGTATATACCTCCTGTACATGAAAAAGCTGACAGTCATAGGTGTATATATATGAGGATCATCTTCACCTAAAATGTGTCAACAGAACACCTCCCTCCGCCATACATCTTATTCATCTATACAGGTCTTCACCATGCACCTGATACATCTAGGCAGGTCTTCACCTTTTACATCTAGACAGGTCTTCATCTTATATATCTAGACATGTTATCACCTTATACATCAAAACAGGTCTTCACATTATACATCAAGACAGGTCTTCACCTTTTACATCTAGACATGTCTTCACCTTTTACATCTAGACAGGTCTTCACAATACACCTGATACATCTAGGCATGTCTTCACCTTTTACATCTAGACAGGTCTTCACCTTATATATCTAGACATGTTATCACCTTATACATCAAAACAGGTCTTCACATTATACATCAAGACAGGTCTTCACCTTTTACATCTAGACATGTCTTCACCTTTTACATCTAGACAGGTCTTCACAATACACCTGATACATCTAGGCAGGTCTTCACCTTTTACATCTAGACAGGTCTTCACCTTATATATCTAGACATGTTATCACCTTATACATCAAAACAGGTCTTCACATTATACATCGAGACATGTCTTCACCTTTTACATCTAGACATATCTTCACCATACACCTGATACATCAAGACATGTCTTCACCTTATACATCAAGACATGTCTTCACCTTATACATCTGGACATGTCTTTACCTTATACATCTGGACATGCCTTCACCTTATACATCTGGACATGTCTGCACCTTACACATTAAGACAGTTCTTCACCTTATACATCTAGACATGTCTTTACCTTATACATCTAGAAATGTCTTCACCTTTTACATCCAGACATGTCTTCATCATACACGTCTAGACATCTCTTCACCTTTTACATCAAGACATGTCTTCACCTTTTACATCTGTACATGTCTGCACCTTACACATCAAGACAGTTCTTCACCTTATACATCTAAACATGTCTTTACCTTATACATCTAGAAATGTCTTCACCTTATACATCTAGACATGTCTTCATCATACACGTCTAGACATCTCTTCACCTTTTACATCAAGACAGGTCTTCACCTTTTACATCAAGACAGGTCTTCACCTTTTACATCTAGACATGTCTGCACCTTTTACATCTGGACATGTCTGCACCTTACACATTAAGACAGTTCTTCACCTTATACATCTAGACATGTCTTTACCTTATACATCTAGAAATGTCTTCACCTTATACATCTAGACATGTCTTCATCATACACGTCTAGACATCTCTTCACCTTTTACATCAAGACATGTCTTCACCTTTTACATCTGGACATGTCTGCACCTTACACATCAAGACAGTTCTTCACCTTATACATCTAGACATGTCTTCACCTTACACATTAAGACAGGTCTGCACCTTACACATCAAGACAGTTCTTCACCTTATACATCTAGACATGTCTTTACCTTATACATCTAGAAATGTCTTCACCTTATACATCTAGACATGTCTTCATCATACACGTCTAGACATCTCTTCACCTTTTACATCAAGACAGGTCTTCACCTTTTACATCAAGACATGTCTGCACCTTTTACATCAAGACATGTCTGCACCTTACACATTAAGACAGTTCTTCACCTTATACATCTAGACATGTCTTTACCTTATACATCTAGACATGTCTGCACCTTATACATCGAGACAAGTCTTTACCTTATACATCAAGACAAGTCTTCACTATACACCTTATACATCTAGACATGTCTTCATCATACACGTCTAGACATCTCTTCACCTTTTACATCAAGACATGTCTTCACCTTTTACATCTGGACATGTCTGCACCTTACACATCAAGACAGTTCTTCACCTTATACATCTAGACATGTCTTCACCTTACACATTAAGACAGGTCTGCACCTTACACATCAAGACAGTTCTTCACCTTATACATCTAGACATGTCTTTACCTTATACATCTAGAAATGTCTTCACCTTATACATCTAGACATGTCTTCATCATACACGTCTAGACATCTCTTCACCTTTTACATCAAGACAGGTCTTCACCTTTTACATCAAGACATGTCTGCACCTTTTACATCAAGACATGTCTGCACCTTACACATTAAGACAGTTCTTCACCTTATACATCTAGACATGTCTTTACCTTATACATCTAGACATGTCTGCACCTTATACATCGAGACAAGTCTTTACCTTATACATCAAGACAAGTCTTCACTATACACCTGATACATCTAGACATGACTTCACCTTATACATCTAGAAATGTCTTCACCTTATACATCAAGACAGTCTTCACATTATACATCTAGACATGTATTTACCTTATACATCTAGACAAGTCTTCACTATACACCTGATACATCTATACATGACTTCACCTTATACATCTAGAAATGTCTTCACCTTATACATCAAGACATGTCTTCACTATACACCTGATACATCTAGACATGACTTCACCTGATACATCTAGAAATGTCTTCACCTTATACATCAAGACATTTCTTCACCTTTTACATCAAGACATGTCTTCACATTATACATCAAGACATGTCTTCACCTTTTACATCTAGACAGGTCTTCATCATACACATCAAGACATGTCTTTACCTTATACATCTAGACATGTCTTTACCTTATACATCAAGACATGTCTTCACCTTTTACATCTAGACATGTCTTCACCTTATACATCAAGACATGTCTTTACCTTATACATCTAGACATGTCTTCACCTTATACATCTAGAAATGTCTTCACCTGATACATCTAGACATGTCTTCACCTTATACATCTGGACATGTCTGCACCTTACACATTGAGACAGGTCTTCACCTTTTACATCTAGACAGGTCTTCATCATACACATCAAGACATGTCTTTACCTTATACATCTGGACATGTCTTCACCTTATACATCTGGACATGTCTGCACCTTACAAATTAAGACAGTTCTTCACCTTATACATCTAGACATCTCTTCACCTTTTACATCAAGACATGTCTTCACCTTTTACATCTGGACATGTCTGCACCTTACACATCAAGACAGTTCTTCACCTTTTACATCTAGACATGTCTTTACCTTATACATCAGACATGTCTTCACCTTTTACATCTAGACAGGTCTTCACCTTATACATCAAGACAGGTCTTCACCTGATACATCTAGACATGTCTGCACCTTCCACATTGAGACAGGTCTTCACCTTTTACATCTAGACAGGTCTTCATCATACACATCAAGACAGGTCTTCACCTTTTACATCAAGACATGTCTGCACCTTTTACATCAAGACATGTCTGCACCTTACACATTAAGACAGTTCTTCACCTTATACATCTAGACATGTCTTTACCTTATACATCTAGACATGTCTGCACCTTATACATCGAGACAAGTCTTTACCTTATACATCAAGACAAGTCTTCACTATACACCTGATACATCTAGACATGACTTCACCTTATACATCTAGAAATGTCTTCACCTTATACATCAAGACAGTCTTCACATTATACATCTAGACATGTATTTACCTTATACATCTAGACAAGTCTTCACTATACACCTGATACATCTATACATGACTTCACCTTATACATCTAGAAATGTCTTCACCTTATACATCAAGACATGTCTTCACTATACACCTGATACATCTAGACATGACTTCACCTGATACATCTAGAAATGTCTTCACCTTATACATCAAGACATTTCTTCACCTTTTACATCAAGACATGTCTTCACATTATACATCAAGACATGTCTTCACCTTTTACATCTAGACAGGTCTTCATCATACACATCAAGACATGTCTTTACCTTATACATCTAGACATGTCTTTACCTTATACATCAAGACATGTCTTCACCTTTTACATCTAGACATGTCTTCACCTTATACATCAAGACATGTCTTTACCTTATACATCTAGACATGTCTTCACCTTATACATCTAGAAATGTCTGCACCTTACAAATTAAGACAGTTCTTCACCTTATACATCTAGACATCTCTTCACCTTTTACATCAAGACA